GTGGGGGGAGGGGCAGAAAGAGAGGGAGAGAGAGAATCTCAAGCAAACTCCATGCTGATCATGGAGCTCCACTCAGGGCTCGATCTCACGATCCTGAGATCATGACCTGAGCTAAAATCAAGAGTTGGATGTTTAACCAACTGAGCCACCCAGGCACCCCTCTTTTTGTTATTTTTAAAGCAGACTGCCACCTCAGTTTTATAATAAATGATATTTTTCTATATGAATGACACTCTCCTCCAATACCCAAGGGATTAAGAATACTATTAGTAATTTTTATTTTATATACTTCAGAGAAAATGTTTATAGTTTGGAAAACTTACGGTATCAGATTCAAGATTGCAAGTCACCTTGATTTCTAAATGTATAATCATCATCATGTATTTAGAGGTTTATACTGTTGACCCTGGGGGGTATAATAGTAGACTAGAACCCAGTGCCTTGGCTTTTCTGTCCCTAAATTTTACCCAAAGATAGGAAGATACTATAAAACACCAACAAAATGAGAGCTAATTAAAGAGTCTGCCTCAGGGCTAGGAGTTACCCGTTGACATTGACTAGTACCTATAAGGGCTGCCATATGCAGACTAGCAAACAGGATAAAGATAGAGTAGCCTGAGGAGCTGAGGATCCTTGGGACCTCTCACTCTCTAAGGTTGTGGCCATCTTCCACTGTCCAGTAGCCTCCAATCCGAACTTTCTAGGAACCAAGTGTAATACACCTTGCTCTCCCCTGCTCTTCCACCAGCCAAACTCTGCAACTCAAACTTACACCAGCACCTGAATTATCTGTGCAATTAGTCCTGTGCCATCTGGCTTGATAGCTACTCGAGAAAGTGTGTTACTCAGAGAAATGTACAGTGAGGCGCCTTCTCATCCACATGAGGCTTTAGCTTACGCCTGGGGCCGCTCTCATTTTCTCTGAAATAGACTTTAAGAGATGCTTGGCTGCTTAAAATCATTAGTGAAAATAACTCACAGGAGGACTTTAGAGCTAACATAGCTGAGCATGCCATTAGAGCCCTATTCAAAATCCTGCTCTGTGTGCTTTTTATTTTCCAACCTGACCTAGGTGTTTTACACCTTATATTCAAAGGGATATAAAAAAACAATCTTTTCTCATATTATAAAATCAATGTTTATCTATTTTAGATAGTTTGTAAAATTACCAAAAAAATGAAGAAAAATTAAATGACCTCCTTTTCTACTAATAGAAATTATTCAAAATTTGGAAATGAGACATAAATATGGGTGGCGCATCAGATGAGGGCAATGGCCCACCCAAAGATTCTCTAGAACTAATAAAAATATAATGTGAAGCACTATATAATTTCAATTTCTAGTAGCCATATTAAAAAACTAAAAACAAACAGGTAAAATTTATTTTTATAACATAATTTATTTTACCAAATATATCCAAAATATTATCAATTTTATGTGTAATCCATATAAGAAATTATTAATGAAATATTTTATATTACTTTATTGTACTAACTCTTTGAAACTTGGCATGTATTTTGTACTTGCTGCACATCTCAGTTTGGGCTGGCTTATTTCAAGTGTTCAAAAGCCACATGTGACTAGTGGCCACCATATTGGACAGCATAGATCAAGGGAAAGTTCAACTCACTGTTTACTTTGGTTAAAGTTCCCAGTCTTAGTGAAATCACAAGCTAACTTGTAGATTTTTGTCCAGTAGAGATCCAAATAATTTCTGTCCCTTAGGACTAAGATAACATCACCGGCCATATTGTGCTGTAGAATATTAACCAGTTTTGTCTCGAGCCAGGCAATTATATCCTACATTTTTTTTGTTAAATTGCCTATAAATATCTTAAGCATTCTTCTTAAACATTCTTTGAACCAGTCTTAATATCTTACTGGTTCTCTCATTACTTCATAAATTGAACAAAATGTTGTTCGTGTGTTCATTTTATAATTTTATGAGTCATGAATTTTACCTTGTTGAAAATCCTACTTTAGCAATTCCACTACCCAGAGCCACTATTAACGTGTTGCTGTCTCTTATTCTGTCTGTAGATCTATCTATATAATATATATTTCACATACAAATCTCCATCATCTCACTTTCTGCCTATATAAGTATTGAAAACACTGCATTAAGTAAGCATATATCCATTTTTGCTTGTCTGAGATCCAAAAATTTCATATATATATATTCAAGATTTTTGATATACCCATTACCAAATTATCCTTTTGAAATGCTTTATCACAAACATTCTTATTACCAGGTTATAAAAGTGCCTGATTTCTTACTGTCTAGAAAGCTCTTTACAAGAATTGCTGATATCTGCTCTCCCTTTCTTGTCCCAGTTTTAGTGAGAAATAATTGACATATGTGGTTGTGTAGCTCTCCTTTTTTTTAATCTAGAATCAATTTATCTTATTACAGTGATTAAAATTTTCAGAACAGAGAGTAAAATGTTCATAATAATAATAGTACTAGTAAAAGAAGCCTTCTTCGTTTTATGTCTGACTTAGGAAAAATACCATTAATATTCTTATGAGGTGAGATGCTTGCTATTGTTTTGTGATTTTTTTTTTTATCATATTCAGGATATATTTCGCTACTCCTGTTTTACTATTTAAAAAAAAATTGGAATAAAATTTGAACTCTATCAAGTACATACTTTTCCTTTGATCTACTAATATTATAAATTATGTTCACAGGGGGGCCCCTGGGTGGCTCAGTCATTAAGCGTCTGCCTTTAGCTCAGGTCATGATCCCAGGGTCCTGGGATCGAGCCCCGCATCGGGCTCCCTGCTCTGTGGGAAGCCTGCCTCTCCCTCTCCCCTCCCCCCTCTTGTGTTCCCTCTCTCGCTGTCTCTGTCAAATAAATTTCTTTAAAAAAAAAATTATGTTCATAGGTATTCTAATATTTAAATAAACATATGTTCTTATATTAAATCTTACTTGACAAAGTATATTATTCTTCTAATACATCGATTTCCTGATATGTTAATATATTGTAATATACTGAGAAATTTAATAAGCTATTATTTTTTAGTATATTTGGCATCTACATAAGTGACATAAGTAACATAAGTGTTCTATATTTAAAACTATTTCATCAGATTTTAATATCAGAATCATACTAAAATGAAATTTAAAGTTTTTCTTTTGAATCTTTAGGAACCATTTTTTACAAATTTTTTTATGATTATTTATTTATTTGAGTGTGGGATGGGGGAGAGCAGAGCAGCAGGGAGGAGCAGAGAGGGAGAAGCAGACTCCCTGCTGAGCAGAGAGCCCAACATGAGGCTCATTCCCAGGACCTCAAGGTCATGACCTGAGCCGAAGACAAATGCTTAACTGATTGAGCCACCCAGGTACCCCTTTAGGAACTATTTAAATGGTAACAGGTAATGGTAGGGGCTGTCTATTTCCTGAACATTTAAAATAACTGTCTTATAAAGCCCACTGATAGCTTTCCTAGAGGTTATTCTTTCATAAACTTCAAAAATTTCTTTCACAGTGTTGGTCTATTCCAATTTTCTTCCTATACTTGAGTCATATTAAAAGGCTTAAATATAGTTAAATTTTATTAAGATGTCTAATTTGAGTACTGAGATCATATATATATATATAGAAAATATTTTATGTATACATAACTATGCATGTATATATAAAACTGTATATGTATATATGTGTGTATATATTTATATAAACATTATCTATGTAAATATATTTTATAATAGTTCTATATTTATCTTTTCTTATTTTTTTAAATTAAATTAGCCAGAGATTTGTTATTTTTATGTGATAGGACATTGACTTTTCATCAAAATGGATTAGTTTTTAAATTTTCTCTGATTTCACCTTTTTGATTCTTCTTCTGAGGGCATTAGGAAGCCACTGAAGAGTTTTTTGTTTTTTTTTTTAATTTTTTATTCTTATGTTAATCCCCATACATTACATCATTAGTTTTAGATGTAGTGTTCCATGATTCATTGTTTGTGCATAACACCCAGCGCTCCATGCAGAATGTGCCCTCCTCAATACCCATCACCAGGCTAACCCATCTTCCCACCCCCCCACCTCTAGAACCCTCAGTTTGTTTTTCAGAGTTCATCATCTCTCATGGTTCATCTACCCCTCCGATTTCCCCCCCTTCATTCTTCCCCTCCTGCTATCTTCTTCTTCTTCTTTTTTTTTTTTCTTAACATATATTGCATTATTTGTTTCAGAGGTACAGATCTGAGATTCAACAGTCTTGCACAATTCACAGCGCTTACCAGAGCACATACCCTCCCCAGTGTCTATCACCCAGTCCCCCCATCCCTCCCACCCCACCCCCCACTCCAGCAACCCTCAGTTTGTTTCCTGCGATTAAGAATTCCTCATATCAGTGAGGTCATATGATACACACTGAAGAGTTTTAAGCAGGAGAGCCGTCAGCAGAGGTTAGTGCTTTGAAAGATCATTCTGCCCTCTGTGGGGCCATGGGCGGGAAGAACAGCACAGACAGCTGGACTCTCAGTCCCACTGAGACTCCGGGGCCCAGCTGTGGGACAGGAGAGACTCAGGGATTGGATGTGGGCCAGACCAGGAGGAGAACTGACTCAGCTATTGTATAAACCTTTTCCTGACGGGAAGTTGAGGTGTGGGAAGCAGCGGTATTAGAGGATTTTGCCTGATGATTCAGTCCAAACCCAATATCCAAGATGTGCACCATGTAAACACTTTTTTGAATAAGATGAGGCAGACATAATGGTTTGTTGAGGGAAGAAGTTAGCCAAGACCTAGGATTAAGAGACCAACCCCTCCACCCACCATAAGGGCGCTGGGGTATGGAAACAGGACTCTCACAGGTCATACACAGAAGGTTGTGCATGCACAACCCCAAGGAGCCTGATTCACACGAAGTTCTGTGGCAGTTCTGTGGGCACCACTGGCCTGGAAATCTGCATAGGACACCAGTCCCATTAAGCGGCTGAAGACAGAAGAGGGACAGCATGCAGAAACCTGTTCATATTACCTGGGTCAGCTTGCTGAGGCTATGGGGGAAGTTGCAGATCAAAAGGTATCAGGCTATATCCCCGGGCTCATCGTAGGAACATGGTGCCACCAAACTGAGACTAATTCCAGACATCAGCTGCAATCATCATGAGATGTCTATTGTACGTCAAGGCCTGCGATAGATCAGGAAATGGGTTCAGCCAGGAAAACTGAGTGAAAAAGGCCCTGACTGATGGCATTGAGAGGGAGGATAAGAGACCGCTTGCCTCAAGATCATGCTCCTCCTACACCTCAACAAGCCGCATGCCTTCCTTTCCTTCCCTCTTTCTCTCCTTCCTTTCTTCACATCGCCTCTCCCATTCATCCTTCTCCTTTGTCCATGTCTTCGTCTGACTCCTGATGTCCCATGCTCTGTGGTTGTCTCTTGGTGTTAGTGAAGTCATCGAGCTTGGGCTCCCACCCCCCCGAGAAGGAACGCCAAGCTGATGTGCCTCTGCACTCAAGAGCAGGGCTGCCCAGAGACTCGTTTCAAGACATTTGTCTGTCATAGAACAATGGCATCTGCTGCTGAGAAGAAATTAAAGCTACTGCTAAGTAGAGCAGCACAGCACATAATGGTCTTGTTGAACGGGGGAGGGGGTTTGATGGTGACGGCTGGGAAGCTAGGACTGATAAGGTCTTCACCCATATTGCCTGCAATCCCAAAGCAGCTGGCTGCACAGCTGCCGTGGAGTCTGGCACGCTCCACACTGCTGGACACCGAAGAGCACACTCAAGTGTTGGGGGAAATCCAAAAAAGCAGGAAACAGCTTGACCAGGACCAGTTCTCCCTGCATATCAAAGTGGGGCAGCTAAAAGAAAAATCTGGGAAGGGACAGTATTGAGGGCAGGGGAATAGTTTAACCAAATTGGCTGCAGTGCAATCAAAAACAGGACATGAATAGGATGTGACAACCCTTCCCATTAAAACAGGACCCTTGTCAAGTAAAATAGCCCTCATGAATTGGCTAAAAACCCCACAGCAGGGCAACTGACCTCTTGGTCATTTGGCAGTCACAGAAGCTAAAAACGAACTCCAATTAAATTTTAAAATAAGACAAAAACCATTGTGAGTAACAAACATGACTATTTCTCTGAGGCAAAGGCTTCTATTTTTCCCTTCGATGACCTTGGAACAATGAGTTACTGAGTTCCCTCTGCAGAGGATCAACTGTGAAACTTCAGACTTTTCTGCCACGGCCCTGTTCCCTCCAGGCCTCCAGCCAGGGTGGAAAGGCTCTGAGGCTCTTGGGCTCAGGCACCAAACTGTGGCGTAGGAGGAAGCGTGAAACCTGAGTTTGAATGTCAATTTCCCCCATGTTAGCTATATGATTTTCGTCAAATCACTTACTCACGGCAAGATCATTTTGTTTGTTTAAAAAGATAAGAACAATGGTATATATCTCATAAGGCTTATGTGAGGGTTAATTGAAAGAAATCTATGTAAATGCACTCTGCCCAGTGCCCGGACAATTTCAGGGAGTCAGGAAACATTAATTCATTTCATCTTCCCTATTAAAAATTTCCATATCCCCAGAAACTAACACAGCACTTGGAATACAGTATAGATTCAACACATGGATGTGTAGCCTAGCATACTGAACGATATGAGCCGTGTTCTCTAACAAACCATGACAGTTTCTTGAATGTGCTGTGATTATTCAGTCTGCTAGGAAAACAAGAGTGTGCAATTGAAGTTTGCTTATTCACTCAAAAATATATCTTAGTTTTGTCTGTTTTGCATTACATACTGTGTCAGGTCTTGGAGATGCAGCGGTGAAAAAGATAAACATGGTCCTTACCTGTGTCACTCAGGATGCTTTTGGGCCCATGTAACAGAATGCCTAGCTCCAAGCGACTTAAATAATAAAAAGGGATTGTTGCCTTACATAACTGGAAAAGCTGAAGGCAAAGCCAGCTTCAGGGGTGGTTTGATTCAACAACCCACTGAAATCACTGGGGACACTGTTTCTTTCCACCTCTGCCTTCCGCAGCATCTGCCATATGATAAGGCTGGTTGCTGTCAAGGTGGCAAGATGGCCGCCAAGGTTACATGCTTTCTCTTCCATATTCAGAAGCTTCCGTGTTCTGGAGACTCCCTGTCAATCTCTTTTTGTGTCTCACTGGCGTTAATCAAGTCATACACATCCCTGAATATACAATAGATGAGACTGGATCATGCTGCTTAGTTGAGGCCTGAGCCATAGGCCCTACTCTGGAGCTGGGGCATAGTCATCCAAAGACAAAGCTGAGAGCAAGTACCAGAGACACCCAGTAAACCCAGGCTGGGCACGAAGAGAAGAGGGCCACCCCCAGAGGTAACAACCACTACAGTCATGTTAGTGTCGCCACAGAGCTTCCATTCAGTTTTGGCAACTTTGAAAAATTGACATTTCAAGAACAAAAATTAAAATTTCTATGCTGCTTTCCTGAGGAGAAATGTGTATCAAGAATGAATAAAGTCGGGCACCTGGGTGGCTCAGTTGGTTAAGCGACTGCCTTCGGCTCAGGTCATGATCCTGGAGTCCCGGGATCGAGTCCCGCATCGGGCTCCCTGCTCGGCGGGGAGTCTGCTTCTCCCTCTGACCTTCCTCCTTCTCATGCTCTCTGTCTCTCATTCTCTCTGTCTCAAATAAATAAATAAAAATCTTAAAAAAAAAAAAAAGAATGAATAAAGTCACTTCACATGTAATTATAGAGTCATTTAATAAATTGAATAGCTAATATATTCAATAAATGGTGCTAGGCACTGAAATGTACAGAAAAAATGCACTTTTAAAGCCACTATGATTACGAAGCCAACCATACAATAGACAAAATATTTTACTCCCTTTTGAAATGACAAATAGCCATACACTACAGGCCCAGTGAATGGAGCCAACATTCATTTTTGTAGGTGTGTGGGTTTCAAATTTTGATGCGCCTAAGAATCACTTGGGGTGCTTGTTAAAAAAGCAGATTTTTAACCCAGCAATTTGCTTCAGTGATCTGAGATGGAGCCCAGAAGCCTTTTATTTATTTATTTATTTATTTATTTATTTATTTATTTATTTATTTATTTATTTATTTATAACCAGCTCTTCAATGATTGCAGTACGGAAGAGGACTGTACTGCAGATTCCACGGGCTACTGTGGTCAGGCAGAGCTCCATGAAGCAAACAATAGAAAGCATAGAATAGTTTTGTGTGGGGAATGTCAATAGAGTTCTCAGGATTCTGGGAAGAGGACATTGGTCTTGGTTTCTTTGTTACTCATTGCAACATGCCCAACACTTCTCGAAGGACACTTGTAATGGAAGGGAATGAATGAGTTTACCAGGGGTATTTTTCATGCTGGAATGGAGTGGAGAGATAGCAGAAGTAGGAAGGTGAGTTCATTGTCATGGTCTTTGCATCAGATAATACGGACTTGGTCTAGAGGACACAAAATGAAAGGAAGAAACTGCTATCCAAAAGCCCTTCAACAAACGCTATAGTTACTCTGCAGATAACTTGAACTACATAGAAAAGTTGGCAGAATGTTTTAATTTATTTAAAGAAAGTGTGAATGGATGAGATAAAGAAACCCAGGCTCTCCCATTAGAATGTTAACCATATTTCACTCTGTGTTGATGTAAGAGAGGAAAGAGAATTAGATGGGAAGACGAGACCAACATCAGCTTTGCTTCTCAGCTGTGTGACCTCGAGGAAATCTGTTCCCTTCTAAGAGCAATTTCCTCATTGATAAAATGAAGGGGTTGAGCCAGGTTATCTCCCATGTCCTTTGTCGCTATGATGGAATATCACTGCATGCACCTTGATGAGAACTGTATTGCAAATTTAATTTACTCTTTAAACTGTTAAAATAACTATGGCTAAAAATCAAAATGCATATTGTACTCAGTGTAGGAGTAATGGTGTGCTTTCTAATTATCTGCCCAAGCAATGTAACCATAGTTAAATTTATGATGAGAATAGCACATCCATTGGGCTGATCAGGTTGTAGTAAATTAAAACTTACAGCTGCCCTTTATATTAATTTAAAGGCAACCCTTTGCCACCAGCAAGAGGAGTCTTATCAGCATATGAATGAGGTATATTAACACAACAAAAGTTGTATTACATAATGTCAGTCTTGTACTAGACATCTAACCTTGTAAACACTGCACTTGTATCTAAGGAGAAATGCATGTTTATTGTCCCTGGCACCAGCCCAGCTTCTCCTCTCTCTGTGAGTGAATTCAGAGGGCCAGAGAAAAAGACCAGGAAAACTTTCCTTCTCTTTCAGTAGAGCTGCGGGTACCGGGTGCTGGCATGGGTGTGTTATACCCCAGTCAAGGCTAACTTAATCTTTAAATATCTAGACCCACTTATTGGTCATTTGAAAGTCATGGTTTCCTTACAGAAAGATTGTTCTCTTTAAAAAATAAATAAATATATGATTCTATTACAGGCAAATTCCCAAGTGTATTTTAAATATGATTCAATATCTAGAAACTTTATTCCCAAATTTTCAGAGATGGTATTACCTAACAATAAACGTTAACTTTTTGAGCCCCCACAAGCTGATAGGACCTGTATTAGTAACGTTACTAAAATTCCTTCTAGTCCTTTTAATTAACCTGCAAGATAGGTATCACCTCCTATCTACAGCTAAAGCTCAAGGAGTTTAAGTCCCTTGCCCAAGGTCAAACACAAGTAAGGATTCAAAACACCCATTTGAGTTCAAGACACAGAATCATTCTACTAAAAGCTTGTACTTAAAAAAAAAAAAAGAAATTCACAGCACGCTTTGACATTCCCGATCATTTCCTGAATCATTCCTAATTGTAAATGAAATAAGTGGCTTTCACTGCTTCCAAGTCTACTGCATATTTTCTTTGTTTTCACTGCAAATAGCTATGGTTAGTGATGTACATCTTTGGACTGTAAATAAAGGTGTGATAGCCTGGAAAATTTCAAGACAAAGAGTTGTAGCTTTTTCAAGGACTTTTTTATAATTAAACATTTTTGTATCTTGAATGCTTTTATAATGCTTAGTAAAACATCTAAGATTTACTAATTCAAGGTAGTTCTTTTAAATTATGTCTAATATTTACCCAATAAAACCATTCTACGTAAAAACTCTCTATAGCAGTCTGCTCATTGGAAA